ATAGACCATTTCTACTTTCTTTTGACAAACAGGGTTCCAGGCTGAACGCCAGAATTGGAGAACTAGAGGAAGAGGTATGTTAGTTCCGTAGAGCGTATATAGCAATGATAATATTTTAATGATATTATAAATATTAATATTAATTGTAATATTATTATAATAATATTATTTGTCAGTCGTCCCGTTAGCACAAGAAACAGTTTAAAGAGAAGCAAAACCCTGCGAGGGTGTGGTAGGATACGTCCAAATATCAAAATTCGTCTCTTCCACAAATTCCGATCGTTTCGGTACAAGCGGGAAATAGGTACCACCTCGGAAGGTATTACCTTTTTTCTGAAATAATTTCACCAAGATGAACCGTTCTATTTGAATTCTTCACGGAATTACCGGATTTTCCATACAAATGGCAAGCGCTCACAATATCATAGTATTCGCCATGTCAAAGCCTTGCGACATATCTGGTTACACGTATAGTATACCTTTTTGGTAAACAAGTTTCCAGGTTGAGCACAAGAAATAAAGAATTGAAAGAAGAGGTAGGACAAGAAATGTCAGACATTAACGTTGCATAATAATCCAGCCAAAAACCACTTACTTCATTTTATCTTCAAGATCAAAAAAGTGATGGCTTCATTCGTTTACGTGGAAACGGCAAACGCACAGTAATTTTCAAGGAGTTATAATAACTCCTCTAGTGGGGTTAATTTAACTCCTTAAAGTGGAATTATTTTTTGGGGAGTTATTTTCACTCCAAAAAGGAGTTTAAAGAACTCATTTTCAGGAGTAAAAATGACCCCAGATATTGAGGAGTTAAAATAACTCCAAAAAAGGAGTTATCCTGTACCTAAAATATTTACTCCACTTTCAGAGTTAAAGTAAATCCAAAAAGAGTAAAAACAACCCTTGTAAGGAGTAAAAGTTATTTTAACTCCAGACTGGGAGCAAAAAGAACTCTTTTTCAGGAGTAAAAATTACCCCAAATTTGGAGTTAAATTAGGAGTTAAAGTAACCCCAAAACGGGGGTTATCCTGTACCTAAAATTTTTCCTCCTTGTTTGGAGTTATTAATAATAACTCCCTAAATGTATGTGTGCGCACATATAATGGTCTTACTTTAAGCCAAGAGCTTATTATTGGCCAAAAGATTTTAACTTTTATTTATTGTTGATGTCTTTTTTTGTATATGCAGAACCAGAAATTGCGCGCTAGACAGGAATGTGAACGCAAACAGGAGGCTGGCCAGGTAAGCATTAATGACCATTCACTAAGCTGAGAGTTTAACAAAAGGTATCTTGCATTAAAACAGTCATCTTTCTTTCGTTTCTTGTCGAGAAGGTTTTCGGAATGGGCACTAAATCTGAAGAATTAGAAGAACAGCTTTCAAGTGCTATGCAAAAGTGCCAAGAGAAAGACGATGAGGTAGGTCAGCAATGTTTGCCACACTTTCTAATTATATAAGAAATAATTTCAACAGTTGTGATTCTCATAATCGAGTTTAGAACAAGGTACTTAACTCATTCCCTTACAAGCCTCAAAACACATAATTTGTATCTTAACCTAGAACTGGCAAATTGGTTTAAATTTACGTCTTGACGTCCGCAGCAAACTTTTTTAGTTCAGTTCATAAACCTGCAACATCAGAAACGCTTTTTTTTCATCATCAGGTCACCACGTGGTAAAGAAAAGATTTACGCCGAGTCAACTATTATGCATGGGCATAACGTTTATTAGATATTACTTAGAAATCCTAAGGAATTCAGAATTCTTAGGCACTCACGTTTATTCTGCGGCTTGGTTTGTAGATCTCGAGATTGAGCAAGACAATTGATGATCTAAAAAGGGAACATTCCTTTGCCAAGCCTAACTCAAATGATACCAGGCAAGAGGTGAGTCAACATTTTCTACGCGCACAAGTTATTGTAAATTATCGTAATCAACTTTTAAAACGTCTTCTGGTTTGGCGACTCATATACTGCTGTCATCAAGAAACAAAATAGGCTACAAAAAGGAACAATTCAAACCCCCAGTTCGAAAACGAAAAAATGAGATAAGAAAACTGAAGCAAGATAAGCCCTCACAATCGTTTCTGTTGATGAGTCAATGAAAAAAACAGTCCGTGTGGTGGCAATTAACACTTGTCTAGTTAACGTAAAAAAACTACTTGTTTTAAAATTTCGGTAGTTGGGACGGTCAGAGTATGATGATCTCAATCAGTCAAGACCAGCCAAATGTTTACTTGTATTTTGTGAGATACAAAAAGCCATTTCGAGATCGTAATACTTTTGCCCCGTGTTCAGTCGATCCATATTCTTGTTCTGAATCCTATGTCAAACTCTTTTTAACTACATCATCCTTTAAATAAAATTACTATGGTTGTTGTTGCTGGTCACGTGCTTCACGTTTTTAAAAGAAGGTGAAAGTTCGTTCGCTTCAGTGACATTAAACATAAGCATAATATTTCCCTCTACAATCGAATTTTAATCGAATTTGTTTATCCAAACAATGTAAATCCGCCAATTTCCTTCATTTTCAATTTCTGGTCACGTGACATGTCACGTGACCATAATTAAACGTTAAGGCACTAGAAAAGCTCAAGATTACTTTTGAGGAAAAATTCATTTTGTTCTAGGTCTCCTAGCGAGAGATATTGCTAATCATTCATATGCTCCGAACACACCTTTGACCCAGGCCTTAAACCCCTTGAGTAAGAACATCATGTGCACGCTCAGCCGTTGCACGCAACATCCAGCAGGCTTGACACATCAAGATTGCGTACACTTCCCATAAACGCTCTTAGGCTAGTCTTACTGCGTATGTCTTGGCTAATTTTGCCCCAAAGATAATCGGCAGCAGTAAATAGAGGAAATAAAATCTCAGATAATATCAGTGATAGAACATATAAGCAAGGTCAGATTTGGTTGGTTAAAAGATAGGACTTCTATTCTTTCTTAAACTTATGATATAGCAGACATTTAAAAAAGTCTATATTCATATCACGAAGGATATACAATTGGTACTTGTTTGGGTTAAATAGCTTCATTGTTTCATCACGTTTCCCATTAAATTCATCAATATTCGCACCTGGATGTTAGGAGATACAGCCAACCAAGATGGGTCTTTTGTTTTTGGCAGTAGCTATTTCAACCCAAACAGATTCTACAAGGGGCAGATCCAAAGTTACATCTGACCTTGGAAACGATGTTAAAGCTTTACTGACATAAAGAGCAACCCCTCCCGCCGGGGTGGGAGAATCATCAGTATGAATTAACTCGGATTTAAGTGGTTATGATAGCTTCAATCCACTTTCATGCTCACAATTCGCCATGCTGCCGTCAGTCTTCTATATGCAAGTCAAACCCTTTCGAGTTTTCTTGCATCGGATGCGCAACCAAAGCGCCAAACTTAAATTAGGTAAAATTGCTGATTTGTAAAGTTGCAGCTTAGCTTAGTTGATTTGTATAGTTGGAGCTTACCTTAGTTTTCGCATTGTTAAGATTTATTTTAATTATTACAAAACACGCTTAGTATTGCATTCTTCGATTAATTTTAAGGGGGACGATTTCTCTTCGGATACCGACCAAGCAGAAAGAGAACATCGCATTGGTGGTCAATTAAAAGATATCAAGGAGCAACTTAACACATACGTTACATCTCCTTTGCAAGCGCCGGTAGTAAAACAAGATCAACTACGATTAGCCGTCAGACTTGACCTTTTGATTAGGCTTAGCGAGAACCTGCAAGAGTTATACACTGAGATACAAGGCATGATTTCGGAAGCTGCTAAATGTAGCGAAGACTTAAGAAGAGACTATTATGACCTTGCCTATCACGGGCTGAGGGCGGAACACTTTGACTTGGTCCACAAAGTTGAAGATTTGGGATCTGCACAAGAGAAGATGTCTGAAGAAGAAAGAAAAGAATATGACAGACTGCAGTCATATCAGAAAGACAGACAAAGGCAGGTCGAGGCATTGGATAAAGTGTGGAGACGTCTTTTTTCTCCGGTATGTGAACAGAGCAGCAGAACAAGTTCTAGTTTTCAGTGAGATTTAAGCTTCTCGATTTTCCGAAGCATAAAAGATAGGCAAAACAAGATAAGCAGTATCATTTCATAGTGAAAGCTTAGTACAGGTCCTAAAGAACGAAAGGCTTCTATCTTATCGATTCGCGCTTGCATTACCCTGCGAACAGAGGCCCTTCGATCGTCCGTGATAAAACCTTTCTAAGAAGATAGAAAGGGTTCTACTCGCGGGGTTGGCTTGCTATCATTCATCAAAACACACCCTTATCAGCTGGAGCCAGTTGCATATTAAACTTAGTGGGCGGTAACAAATAATCTTCGACAGTCAGCTCACAGACCAGTTGGTAGCTAGCTGTCTTTAAGCGCAAGACTCTATGGTCACAATGCAAATAAAGCCTCTTGTCAGTTCGGCTTTTGTTTCAATTGCAGGTCGATCGCCTTCCTAAAGCAGGAGCATCTGATCCTACTAGCAGCAAGTCAAGGGGGTGTAAAAAGGTAAATGTATGTATAACCAAGATATGATCTCCAAACGCTATATATACACAATCAGCCTTATATATGATAGCCATCACAAAGTGTCCTCATGAATAATAGTTTTCCAATTGAAGACACAATGGTCATTCTGTCAAAATATTAAGCAACAATATGAAAGGGGAAAACAACACAGTCAAATACTGAGTGCTTGTATTTGCAGTAGTTATTCATGTCCGCCATCACTTCATTGAAGCTGCATGTTCCCGCTTTTCTGGAACTATTAAGGTTGTAAAGTCGCTTGTGGGTGAGTTCGATTGGGAAATCTGGATTTAGATTTTGAAATCCGGATTTCGGATTTTCCCTCGAACGCGAAATCCGAAAATGGATTTCACCTCCTAGAGATCCTCAAGGTGGTTTTCAGTTACAAAATCCAAATCCGGATTTCATGGATTTCCTTCTTTTACCGTTCGATCGGGAAATCAGAAAAATTAAAGGGATTTGCAAATTAATTAACTGTCAGTTGTGAACAGTGGTCTTTTTTCTTCTAATTATGCGTGCGTGTGCGAGACTGCTGATCTAGTTGGGAAAAGCTTTTCAAGTCCTTTTTGGATTTCCAAAAAAAGGGAAAGAAAGAAAATCCAAGAACAGATTTCTCAGCTCTGAAATCCGTTCAAGGCCTTCTTGTTCGATTGAAAATCCGAAATCCGGATTTTAAGATCCAAAGCCAGATTTCTCAATCGAATGCACTCTGAGCTAAAAGACAAAGAAGAAGAAAGGTTTTTTTTTTTGGCAATTTTTCTTCTGAAGGTCTTGCGACTCACGGATCCAAGTTACTTACTCAAGAAGCTAAAATTACGTGAAGAAACCAATACAGGTGCTGAAGCAACCAGTAATGATGAAAAACCAGAGGAGGTCTCAAGTGTAAGTGCTTGTGAATTTCATTTCTCTTTAAAATTCCTCCTGATTAGCGAAAGTTCTAGTTTTCTCTTTTATTATTATTATTTATTTCTTGGATGAGGGCTAGACTAAAATTCGGCTAAAGAATTAATACGTAGTCCCTCAGGAAGTTGAGTATTTTTCATTTTCAGTGGTCAATAGCCTTGTACCAGAATACTTCAAGCCACATCGCATTCTTTTTCACACTTTTCAAGGGCTAGAAATGTGATAAGTTATATGAAATAATTCCAAAGAAAAGGTTCTTATAGGAGCCAGAGAAAGCAAACGTCAAATTTCACAGGAATTAAGAAAACACGGTAAAATCATTTTGCGTAAGATTCCATTTTGTGCAATTTGAAGCTAAAAAAAATGGTGGGCGAAGTGAATCATTTTTTCCCGTAAACAACACATTATGGGAATTAAATAAATATATTCTCAGTTCATGAAATTAACTTTATTTTTATTTTGCAGCCCATGCGCAAAAAAAGATTCTCAGTTGGAAACGCCCTTCAGTCCATTCAGTCCAGAAAGAAAGAGGATGGTGAAAAACAGAGCTCTAGTGTCCCTTACATGTTAATGAGGAATGCTTAATTCAGTTCATGAGGGTCCCAGTGGAGTAGCTACAAGTCGACCTCACGATTTTCTTAGCTAGCGGAGTGAGCTCTTCAGGCCGCAAAGCGGCCAAGCTGCGGCTAAGCAAGCGACGAAGTCGTGAGAGGTCGTCCGCGCCATATTAAATCGGATGAAGGACTTTTTTGGAGGTCTATCAATGGGGTGGTAACTTTGACGGTTGAAGGTTAAATTTTAGAGCTTTTGACGGTAGACAGCTATTAAGTGGAAATTTAGTCCAAGAGTTAAGCTAATATTACCTTTTGGTAAGTTAATTATAATTAAATGTTGTGTTTTGGAGGTTGTCTTTGCCTTACCTTGCCTTGGGATATAAACATGTTCTGAGGTCATGTTTCGTCTAGAGAGGGTGTTTTTGAGAACATGGGAACTGGTTTTCCAGTTTGGTGATTCTTAAGCAGCCAGAAGTCCGTGTGAAGATCAGCCTGCTGATATAGACAGATTTGAAATACTTTGAAACTTTTAGTCTGCATTTTTGACAGTTAACCTTTTGACAGCTCACTGTTAACCCCATTGAGACCCTTAGTTAAACATTTATAGCTACAATTGTAGACATCTGCTGCGAAATTGGTAGGCAGAATAATTTGACGATTTATTCACTTTTATCCTGTTCCAGGCGTTCGGATAGTGGAGTGCGGCGCGAAGGAAGAGAGCAAGAAAAAAATAAGGAGGAAAAGAGGAAGAGGGAAAGTTCCCGCGCTCTCACCCCTATCTCACCCCGTCCTCGTTGTTGTTTTTTTTTTCTGCTCAGATGTCTTTGCGCTATCCTCACGATCTGAATGCCTGGAACAGGCTAATTCACTTTGGATGTGGAGGCAATAGACAACAACAACTTTATTGACTTTATCTTCAGCATGAAGATTTCAGTGTCAAAAAAAGACAATAACAAGTAATATAATAAGATAAAAGTAAGGTAAGAGAAAGGAACAACAATAATACATAGACAATTACCTGGCTATGTATGGCCTCTATGTTCAGCTCGTAATTCTAAGAATGCTAGATTAGAATTCGGATTTATAACAATTTAAATTTAATATTTTTAATAAATAAAGGGGCAGTAAGATTTATGATGTAAGCGCTGATAGAAGAAACAGAATTTTAAACATTGTTGTATTATAGTAGTGCTGCATAATCCTTTGTTAAGTTATAAAAAAGTTGAAACCGGGTACGAATTTTCATTTGCCTTTTTCTACCATTACAAATCCGTGGAAAATTCTATACAAGGTAAATGCAAAGTTATTTATTTTATTTTATTTTATTTTATTAGCTTTGCCCTAAAGAATACAAACAAAAAAAACAAAAACTGAAGATATGCAAAACTAGTAATAAGAACGTAACAATACACTAACAATAACTTAAATAATTTGGGCAGGAACACCGCAACAGCTAAAGCCAATTACTGCAGATCCAAAATAAAAAATATAAAAGTAGCGATTGAAATCACATGCAGCAGCTAATTTCTTGGTCTAAGAACCTGGCTGTGTTACACTTCAAGCAAATAGAAGCAAATAGTTAGCATTGTACAATTTTTTTTTCTCATGTACCATCATCAAAATAACGAGTGTATTTTGTAAATGAACTGTTAAACAGAATACAGACGGATGGCGTTAAAAATAAACTTGGGGAATACAACAAGTGAAGAATTCAGGAAAAGTGAATTTGTTTGCTAGACAAACTACTGAAAAGATTTTTATATACTCAAGAGGTTTAAGGCCTGGTTTAAGGCTGTGTTTTGAGCATGTGAATAATTGACAATATCTCTCTCTAGGAGACCTAGAACAAAACGAATTTTTCCCCACAAGTAAATCTTTAGGTTTTCTTGTGCCTTAACGTTTAATTATGTTCATATCCCGTGACCAAAAATTGAAAATGAAGGAAATTGGCGAATTGGGGGAGAATTTACTTTGTTTGGATAAACAATTTGGCATTTCTGAAAGAGGATAAACATACCTAACTTTCTACGTTTGGAATGAATGTACACAAAGTTTAACATTGAAGTTTTAAACAATACAAGATTAACTTTGGGCATTTTAAATGAAGTTTTCCCTCATATTTTTTTATTGAAGTGCAATGGACGGTCATCCCAAACGTGAAGTGTTAGAGATATTTAATATGAATTAGAAAAATGTTATTGTTCGACTTCTTTTCTTAAACCGGCCACTAATTGGTCAATAAGTTACCATTTTTAGCAAAATGGTCACGTGAGGTATCGCGTGACTTATCAACACAATATTTATACTTTAAAATGTTAAGGAAAATGAGTTCTTTGTGTGTCCCAAATTTCAATTCAGTGCCATCATCTATGCCGAAGTTATAGCCAATAATTCATTTTCCACAGTTAAACGTCTGTGACACCTGTTTTATGAAAATTGATTATTAAATTTTACGGGGTTTTCCAGTTTTGTACAAACTTACTGCTGTTCACAATAGTGACTTCTGTAGAAGGAGAATTAAGGGTAAGGTTAGTGTAAAGGGTCTTCTTTGTATTTGTAAACTGCTTATTAGATGTCTAAACCTTGTGCTCGCATTTTATTGAAAGGGACTAAATTAGAAACAGAATCTTCTGTTCTTAAGATCTTGTGATCTTGTGAGGAGAAATACGACTGTTGTGTTTACTTATTGTTAAAAGATCGGTTATTGTGATATATGTTCGTAAAACCATAAAGGCGGTTTCGGTCTTAAGAAGAAAACGACCGGTTTGCGGTCTGCGAAAAACAAAGTAAGGCGGGGTGCGGAATAGTCAACCCCCTAATGGACCCTCTAAATGAGTCAATTAGTCAATTGTTATGAGTCCGGCGATCATAGTCAATCAGTCATTGGTTATTTTATGTCTACACTAGCTAGACCAGGTAACTTTTTGTGCCAACATGAAAAGGTATCCGGTAGAGTATGAACGCGGCAACAGCTCAGAACTGGAACACGTCGTTCACACACATCAAACATCGTATCTGATATTTACTTCCGTCTCAAGTGTCGATCGATGGGTTCTAGTCACTTTCAAGATCGGCGCGGCGCAGCTTCGCTCCGTTAAAGAAGTCGCGCCGAAATCGCCGTTATTTGTGATTAGAATGCCTTTCGTGGTCGGCGAAAGAGCTATCCGGTGTAATGTGGACATAGCCTCATTCATTTAATTAATGAGCACAAGGGCCTTTCTGTTTTTAAAAGGGAACCTGGCTTCTATTGTTGTTAAAAGATAAACATGACTAAAAAACGGAGTTAACAGAGCAGAGGTAAATAACGCGCCGTATAAATGTTCAAACGCCAGGGACCTTATGAAACTACGACGGCAACGGGAGAGTTAAGAAAGCAATGAGCACAACAACAATTCTGCAGGTGCTTTTCTCTCAGTTTCTTTGACGTACCTGAACAACTACAATGCGAAATGACCAAACTGATTTCCAGTTCTCTTGAGAACGCGCGGCAAGGCAATACAGGCGATAAAGGACCAGTCATTACTTATCACCGGAGAAAGGGGGGTAGAGGAGTCAGAGGATTTTGGGCGAAACACGGTGAAACATGGCCCATCCCCCCTTGAAATGTTATTACACCGAACTGATCACCCCTCATAACTCTTGATAACTTTTGTGACCCTCCCTCCCCGCCCAACGTTTCCGCACCCATATTTACCTTTCGACTTGTATATTTACTGTTTAAAAGTTCATAAATCAATATACCATCGTTTTTTGACAACAGGTTACAAATTGAAAGTACATGGGATCAATTTAGGTTTCCTGGGAAACTGCCCGCCTACCCCTCCCCTAAGTCAACATTAACATTTACTTCTCACTTAGGGCAAAATGTTGGGTTAGGGTAGGGGTAGGTGGGCAGTACATGGATACTGCTACGAGTAGATGCTGACCAGTAAATCATCATCCTGGCATACGCATTTTCAGTTGCTTATTAGAGACCCTTTTATTGGCTCAATTATGGGATAAAGAACCACAACTTGGGACTCCTTCAATTGCGAGTTCTTGGAGAGATTTTGGTCTTTAGTGGCCACTTTAGAGTCATACGAGAAATAATTGGAAACTGTTTGTGTACATCACATTAAGCGAAACGAAGCGCAATTAGAATAACTTAATAAGAGTGTTACTTGTATATCTGAAATGTTATAATGATGACACCGCTGGACATACTCGCAAAAAATCATCCTGAAAAACATAAATGCAGATTGTAACGCCTTAATAGCCACAGGAAATCCAAGCCAACCACAGGGAAACCAAAGATTTGAATGCTGCTCGCCTGCTCGAAGCAATAACTTTGTGATTAAGTATTAACACATGATAAGGAACAACTGTAAGCCAAATATCTTGGGATCAGTTAATAAAGGCAGAAATAAGATACTGAGTAGTGGAATTGTAATAAAAACCTTCTTTGATTCAAGAGACGCCATGAAAGTCGTATCGTGTTCAGCGGCACGTCCCCCATCAGAGCAAATAAGGGAGTATCCGCCCCACCCGGGATGGAAGCTGGCTAACACTGCTCTGAAAGCTGTCAAGGTTACCACAGACGCTTCCAATACCGTCATCCCAAATTTTTGTTCAATCCTGTAATCCCGATGATTATTTTTGGCTTTCTGCATCCCTTGTACTATCAATCTCGAGTCCCGTCCCTAGTTTGCTTTTAAATCCCGAATCCCGGCGTTCAAATAAAGCGAATAGCATAATATATTCAGTGACAACATCCGGTTACTAATATGGGTATGATTCGGGGAAAACCCCTTCCATGCTTGAAAGGTCACCAGCCTTCATAAGGAAATGCCGAATTGACAGTGAGTTTTTATAGCTTCTTGCCTTATGTGTAGCTTGTAAGTCACTGGCATTTTCCCACGTACACCCTCAAATACTGCGTATTTCGTGTAAGTTGTCAAGAGGAATAGTAACTCTTAGTATAGAAGAGTCCTGACGCTGGGAAGTGAACTTAATTTTTCGACCGTGTTTGGCTGCTGTCATATGGAAGCTACATGTCTGTTGTTTCAGTCACTTAGAGGATTCCTAACTGAACCTTACTTAGCAAACTACACAAAGTCACTGCAATTCGAACTCTAGGATTCTGGTAAGTACTAAGTTTTTCTGTTGATTGTTTTGTAACTGTATTATTGCCCGTCGATGTGTCAAATCCTTATTTCCGGGTAGACATGTACGTAAGAAAACACTTTCACGTACTTTATCGAAATATAAGAATACACGCATTTTTATGATTTGCCTCTTTTATTCATTTATGATTCCCCATCGTCACTGTTCAGGTCAATTCCACAGTTAGAAAAACCACTTCAAAGCTTAGAGTTGGATGTAATTGGCTGTACTTATACCCGGGTATTTAAGTATTATGTCACGCTTAAGAATGTTACTCACACCGGTACTCCGTCTAACCAACTACCTACAAGAAATAAAGTTTAGGCTTGGATAGCCACAGATTTAAGACAAAGTAGGACCCGCGGAAGGAAGATAACCTCACGTTATTAGGTCAATTTTACCATGTGAAAAAAATAGCATAAATTGCACAATATAAGGAAATTTCTTTACATGAATGAACTCTCTGCTCCAGTGATAATCACTATCGCCGCTATAATACGTCATCTCACAAGGCGTTGGTAATTGTACCGGTCAAAGCTTCTGTTGGTGGCCACCTTCGGGAAGTGGCCATTAGTAGAATAAATGATACCTGAACACTTACGAAAGCTTGCATATTGTTCACAAACACTGTTTATGTGGGAAAAATTGTTCGATAATTTTTTAAAAATTATTGAATGATGCTGAGTATCATTTGAAAGAATTTCGCAGATCGAGGAAGCCATGGGTGCAGGTACTGATAGTCTCCTAAGGATTCTTACAGTGCAAAAAAACTTTTAAAAACATTTTCTGGTGGTGTAGCTAATTATCTAGAAAACAAATATTAAACTAATCATTGTAAAAATTCGCACTCACCAGCGACGAAAAAATTTTTGTGTTTTTGGCTTCACAACCTATGACAATAGGCCATAAGTCACGTGACGTGATCATACTGAAAAAAACCCTAGAGGAAGCAACGACGACGAGGGTAGTGAAAACGTTGCCAAAAAAACGAATTTGCGTCCTTTCAAACTTTATTGCGTCTAGTAGAGCCCGATCAATTTGACAAATGTAGGAGATTTTTCCTGGAGTTGAATTCTTAAGCGAACAATTCTTGAAGATCCATTTGGACAAACAGCAGCGAGGAAGAGTGTAGATAAGGATCAGCAACACAGACGTATAAAACCGTATAACACTTATAATTGTAGGCAATGCTGATCGGACAGCTGTGGATGGGTAATTTATTTGCTCAATATTTCGGTTAGACAAAACTAACCTTCTTAAGGGGCTAGATCAAGCTAATATAATTTGAAATCAGGGTTCAAAAAAAGAAAGGAAAATTCGTCGTCGGATGTTCACGTCCTGTATCAAACGGTGTCGCATTACGTGGTT